AACGTTGATCTCGCCCTCTTCTCCCCTCCGTCCTCCGTGCCTTTCATTGTTCGGGCTGGATCCGTCGGTCTTTTGAAAGCTGCTTCCGCCCCCATTCCAGAGCTCAACCTCGACCCTCTCCCCCCCGAAGACCATCACTATTAGCCGCCTCCGCTACCGAGCTCTCAAATCCGCGCGCGCTTTCGTCCGATCTCGCCCTACCACCCTATAATTCCAGCGCTTGTCAGAGAAAGCTTGATACTCCATCTGCTCCAGGCTGTGAGACCTTGGGTGGCACAGTCCTTAGTACCGTACAGGAACACGCTATATAGTCTGTGGCTGTGTGAGACAGCTCCCGAGGGGGAATTCCTTTTTACCTTTTGTCTGTCGCCAGCCTATATCGGTTCAACTGCTGCACCGTCACTTTGATTTGACTGTTTCCCCTGGTCAGCTGTGTGCATTCGCCAAGGAGTTTTCCCGCTCCTTTGTGTCCTGTCGAACTCGTCACCCTTCGTTGTCATTATGTCGACCGCGGTTGCGCCTGCCCAGGGCTGCTCCGCTCACATCTCCGCGTATGACCCGCGATATCAGTCCGAAAAATTGCCCAACACTGGCGCCTGCGTCTTCGGGTAACCAGACGAGTACCACGCCGCCGCGCCCATCCGGTGTCTCTCGGGATGCGTCTTCGGCCAAAAGCTCTCCTGCAGGAAAGAAACCGACCTCACCTTCGTAAGTATTCTGACCAACAGTCGCTAGCTGAATCGCCCATGCAGATTGCTGACCTTTCAGCAGATCACAGGCCGGATCCACTGCGAGTCGAGTCATCGTGAAAAAGGAACCCCCATCCTCCCCTGCAATGCAGTCTCATACAAGACCTCGCCCTCGCAGATTAGATCTGTCTAGTAGCCTTCCGAACTCTGGGGGCTTGTCCGCTCGGCCTCCTGGTGGCCCTATGACTGCGAGAGAGGGCGTCAACATGCAAGAGGTCGGGATCGCTTGCCTGTCCCCAGGATTTCAAACACATGATCCTGTGATGCGGGAGCAGCTGCAACGGAGCTTATCGGTTCGGGATCAGCAGCGCTCAATAATCGAATCGCGTTTACAGAAGTCCGCCAAGGATGACGGGCCCGACGGAATAAAGCCGTCTGAATCATTCGGCCTCCCCAGGGTCGGTGCATCGAAGAGAAGACCCCCGCCTGGCCTCTCCATCGTGCCCCCGTCAGCAGCCCAATTTGCTAGTGAACGTGTCATCCAATCTGCGCCATTGAATCAGACCTTCACGGGCCGAAATGAAGCGCAGCCCTTGACACGTCATGTCGTTAACCAAAGTCCGACTCTGGGGTCCACATCTCACATCCACCATCTCCCTGCTACACAAACAACCAACCGCTTGCCCCCGCTGTCTGATGTCTTTGGAAATGAGGCGTTGGGCCGCGATCGCGAGGCAAACCGGGGAATGTATTACCCCAGCGCGACAGCTGCCAACCCGCCTCAATCGAACAATCTGCCCCCCATTCCCTCCCCTCGCATCTCCCGGGATGCCGCTCAACCTCCCAAGCGCCCCAGGGAGTATCGTTCCGCCGAGGAAGCTGTCCAGGAACTGTCAGGTGGGCGCGAGGAGCTTCTGCCGCGCATTGTACATTACGGCGGCCACCAACCCCCAACTCCACCATCTCCCCGTGTGGCTAACGGACCACCAAAATCTGGAGTGCCTCACTCGGATGCTACGCCCATGGCGAATGCGCACCCCCCACAACCATCATTGTACCCGTCCGAGGGTACTGCTCGTCGCCGCTCGAGAAATGAGTACGAACATGAGCACGGCAGCCCGCCCTTGGGCCACGGCCCCGACCCACATTATCGCCCTAACCCAGCCTTGGCCTCTGGCGCAAGTGCCACTTATGGCCCATTTGGGGCTGGGAGAGACTCCCCCGAAACCCAGCGCAGAAAGAAGGAAGAATTCCTTAGTCTCTGCGCACGTGCCTGGGACCTATTCCATTCTTAATCCATGGTCAAGTTGCTTAGGGTCTCCCTACGTGACCTGATTTGGCCCGTTTCTATGAATGCATTCCCAAATACCGTCAACTTTCCCTCATGCACTATTCGAAGTGGTCAGCACTTGAGTTTATGGATAGGCACGACCTAGCAGAAGGTGCTTGCTTGGTAGCAATCACCCACGGCTGAACTGCAGGCCCACAAAAACAGCAGTTTCTACGTGTGGAGGGAGTGTATCTGAAGAATAGTAATTATTCTAGACATGATGCATATGCCAAACTACACGACTACCTATATGAACCGCATGAACAGTCGCTCTTTGAAAAGAACGGAAGGGTGGATCCCGTCCCTTCAATATCCTCATCATCCCTTTTTACCTTTTATGCATCTTATACCATGTTGGGCCAGACGCCTTCATCGTTTGCCATTGATTTCAGTGTTTGCTTCTATTCGATCATTTTTCAATCTCTTCTCTCTTATCGCTCTTTTTTTTTACCCCCCTTCAAAGTTCCACTTGAGGGGAACTTGCTTTATTCTGGACATGAGGCGTTACTTTGTTATGGGTTTAAAGATCATGTTCTTCGAAGAATCATGTCTATATTGTTTCGAGGACCTCAGATTTCGGTGATCCTTGCGTCATTGACTTATGGCTTGTTGCGATACCATTTGATTGTTTGTTTGTGCTTACGCGTCTGATTATCTTGGTACAGCAATAGTTATTGGATGTTGGTTGTTCGCCATCTGGCATTGATAATATGTTCTTCATTTTCTCCCTCTGGCTAAGCTGCAACTACGCCTGGAAGGAATAAGTCGGTTTTGGATAATGATAAGTAATACCGTGTCTATATAACCTCTTCCGGCCTGTCGGCTTGGACATTATATTCTGGAGAATTTCGTAGAAGGAAAATGCCTATGCAGTTGCGAACTATATACAATAACATGAGCCAGGCGCCGAAATCAGACAGCAAGTCCCAACATCTATGCAACTCTGCGGCGTTTCCAGCCGCCACCTTCCACCGCCACTCGGCGCATCGTCGCCAGCCAAGGCTCTCCGCTCCATGGGCATCTCCTTTCTTTCCTTGGCGGCAGTCTTCTTGCGCTTCCTCTCGAGTGCCTTGGTGCGGTCCTTGGAGTTCATATTCTCGTACTTCTTGAGCAGCACCTGCTTCTTCAGGTCCGACTTCTTCAAGAAGTACGGGTTGCTCTTCTTTCCTTCGCGGATGAGCTGTTTCTCCTTCTTCTTATGCTCCGCTAAGATCTCCTTCTCGCGTTTCCTATTCTCCATCGCTCGAAGACGGTCTTGAGTCGACCGAATCGTACGCTTCAGAGCTTCTTTCTGTTCTTGGTTCTTCGTCTTGGCGTATTGTTCCTTCAACTGCTTCAGTTCGTCCCGGCGATACTCGTCCAAGAATGCGTAAGCGTTGCTCGTTCCTTGAGGGTTTCCGCGACCACCCTGGCTCAGGACAGTCGGGTCAAAACGGGGGTCTCGCGACTTGGGTACACTTGGCGGCTCAATGATGGTCCGTTTGCGGGAGACGGCATGTTTGGAGGATTGTACGGCCGGCGCATGCTTGGAGGAACGAGAGAGCTTTTCCGAATCCTTATTTTTCGCCAGCGCTTGGCGTTTCTGTTCGCGTGCCTCTTGAATCCGCGCCCGAATGTCGTCTAAGGGGGAAGGAGCGGCAGGCTCGTCTTCTGTCCGGGAGGCCTTGGACGACCGCTTTGATTTGGGTCCTATAGATGCTTGCGCTTTCGCCAATGCGCCGAACGAGATACTGCTTAGTGAGGCTTGAACGTCGTCCTGGGCATCATCATTGTCGTCTTCGTCATCTTCGTCGTCGTCATCGTCGTCATCGTCGTCATCATCCATATCTTCCGGGTCGCCTTGAGACTGTGAGATAGTCAGCATGTTGCAATGTCTATCCAAACGAGGGGAAACTAACCACATCGTCGTCGTCGTCTTCGTCTAGGGAACCATCACTGCCACTTTCTGAGCCTGACTCGTCAGAGCGGAGATCGTCGCTCGCCTGATCCGAGCCAGACTGGTCAGAGTAAAGCTCCTCGTCGTCCTGAGCGACAGCTCGCACACGGCGATTCAGTAGGTCTGAGATAGCCATTTGCGGATCATAAATGGGGGATGTACAACCGTAAATAGTCCACCCCAAGTTGAGATGAAAACCTAAGCTGGCCGGGCGGTGAGATCGGCGGCCGAAAAAAATGAGGCCGTTCTGCCCTTCGTAGAAGGCGGCGAGCAGATCGTCCCCACCTTGATTGGCCAGACCTCCCGATAAGTAGTCACTTTTTCTGCCTCCGCATATCTTCTATCTTTCTTTTATCGTTGGCTGCTCGCATCCTCTTTACTCTCCCTCCAGTGTCGCGGCGGATTCCTCCTTCGGTCGTTCGTCTGCCAGGAATCTTCCCTTCATGTTGCGAGTACGCCAATGCTGCTTCTTCCCTCGTTTGCCTCTACTTGCTATAAAGCCCCGCCCCGCCCCCATAGTTACCTCTCCTGATCGCAAGTTTCAAAGTGGGGTGTCCAAGGTGTGTACTTTTGGCTTTCATTTTTGGGGTACTTGTATAGCTGACACCTTTAACAGGCTGATCTGGGAACACTCAACGCTCATTGTACTCCTTTCACTCCCCGCACATGCTTTCACATATCCTCGAGTTCACCCCGAGTTTTTGTCCACAACAATCGGTCCGTTAAGCCCGACATGGAGTCAGCAAACGCACCGGCATTCGATGCCTCTAGTATAGACAGTCGCCTTTGTCATGATGGCTCCAATTCTTCCGTAGTGGGAGACGATAAGCCTGCATGGAGACCGTATAAAGGCCGTTGGGCTCGTCAGAAAATGAGGAATACCAAGCGCAACAGCACAGAAAATCCGGACACGACGGCTCCAGGAAATGCTCCCCCGGCTGCTCGCCCGCGGCAAAAGCTACCACGACGGAGCAAACAGTTAGCCGAAAAGAACATTCGCGAAGAGATGCAATCTCAAGCATCACAGTCTGCCGGTTCAGCGTCCTATGTACCAGGTCAACCACCCCAGAACAGCTTTGGGGCGTTTGACAACATCAATTTGGCTGCTATGGTTCCCCCGTTCCAGAATGGCATGGCTGCGCCAAACGAAAATGTTCCAGGGTTTCAACAGCCCTTTTGGCAGCTCCCATGGGAGCAACAGCAATTGCTATTCCATGCTCCTGTGGGTGAATCCACTAACCCTTCTTTCGGTTTCCCTCCGTTGAATGACATGGGTGCGTTCCCTGGTGGATTACCTCCCATGTTTCCGCCTGCGTTCATGAACTTTGCGTCAACGAATCCATTGATGGCAATGCCACCGTTCGGACCCATGGCCTTCCAAGCAGCTGGCTCTGCTGGAATCAATACCCGCAATATGTCCAGTCAGGTCCCATCACCACGCCCGGGTTCTTCATCCAGGGCACGCGCTAGTCCTCGACCTCGTTCCAAAAGGTTCGACTCCCCGACACCACCTAAAAGAGCTATGCCAACACCGGCCTACCTCGAGCAGTCGTCAAAGCCAGCCAAACGGAACTCCTGGTCACAACCTCTACTAGTCATCCTGGATTTGAATGGCACGCTCGTCCACCGGCCTGACCGGTACATGCCACCTCGGTTTAAGAGAAGAGCGGGACTGGACATCTTCATACAGACGTTGATGCAGAAATACAAAGTCATGATATGGTCGAGTGCCCGACCTCCCACCGTAGACGGCATCTGCCGCCAACTCTTCATCAATGACAGCCGGACGCAAATCGTCGCCGAATGGCACCGCGAGCACTTCAATCTCACTCCGCAGCAATACGATGCCAAAATCCAGGTCTACAAAACCCTCAGTACCGTATGGGCCGACGAAAAGGTCCAAGCATCATACCCCAACCCCAAAGACCTAGGCTCGTCCGTGCCTGCAACCTTCCAAAAGACCCGCTGGGACCAAACCAACACCATCTTAATCGACGACACCCGCCTCAAAGCAAGCAGCGAACCAAGCAATCTCCTCGAAATCCCCACCTTCGACGGATCCTCCGGCGCCGAAGACGCCGCCACATTAACCAAGGTCCTCCAAATGCTCGAGGAGCTATCCTTACACGACGACGTCAGCCAAGTCCTCCACAAATGGTACAACTCGATCCCCAAAACAGGCAACCTCTGCCTGGACATCAAGCTCCAAGAAGACCCCGAAGCCCAACATCAACTCCAAACCCAATGCTACAACGGCCCCCTCACCCCAACGGAGATCGCCGAAGCACGCAAACAGCGCCGCAAAGCCCGCAAGCGTGAAAAGGTCGCCGAGAAAGCCAGAGCCCGTCAGATCCAGAAGCAAGAACAGCGTTTAGCCAAACAGTACCCACCCCCTCCCACATATACCCCAGGGGTCGTCGCCTCATCTACTGTCGATGAGACGAATACTGTCACACCACGTACAGATCTCTCTTCCTCCAACTCATTCCCTCCTCATTCTCCATCATCACCTTCATCTGACTCGACACCGGGTGGCACTGCTATACCAACAGGATATGATGTCAATGACAAGGTCAAAAGGACTTTGAGGGTTGCTGGTGATGATGATGCGAGTGATCGTTCCCCGTCGCCTGCTGCCTCAACTCAATCTGAGAATTATCTCTTGGATCGGTTGGAGGAGTCATTGAAGACGGGTTGAGGGGCAGAGTGTTCCTTTCTGGTTTTGTGTCCTTTCTCGTTTGGTGTGGATATTGTATTCTGTATTGCGGGAGGTGGGTGTTGTACATGATATGGTATGGTGTATATGTGGTAGGAGTCAGACAGTCAGGGCTATGTTGTTAAAGAACAAAGCGGCTGGGCTGGTACCAGCTGGTTTACTTTACGTGTGCACAGTGAATTTCTCATGAACAGGCTATTATATTATAGAATACGATATGGCATATAGAGAGAGTACTATACCATACAATTACTACAACAATGATTTACTGCGGATAGAAATATCATGATCATGGAAAGCACAAAGTGCTAGTGGGTTTGTTTTTGACTAGCTACTGCTATGGTCCATATCAATCGTAAGCGTGGCATTACGCGTGAAATAAACAAGAAAAAGTTTTCTTTTGGAAGGAGTCGACGAAGAATGAAAACACGTAAACCGTTCCATCATGGGCAGCGTGGATATGTAAAAAAGGGCGGGGGTAAATAAACCCAAGTGGGGAAAAGCTATCAGATGGGATAGAAGTGGACCGGACGGGAAATAGCGCCCTGAACATACTATCCCCACGAAAGCTCTCCCACACTCCGGTTGAGGAGAAAGAGACGGAGGTTATTTAAAGGTCGAGTTTCATCTCAGACGACTACCCAACGAGAGAGAAGAAGGGAAAATTTGGGATATCATCATCATGAATTGGCTACGTCTAACGCACCAGCTTATTTGAAGACGTGGCCGTCAGCGAAGGGGTACTCCTTGCCGTCAATGACGACGGGGACATCCCAAGCCCACTGGTCCTCGATGAGCTTGCGGTCCTCGGGGTTGGTGTGGTCGAGCTTGCGGAACTCGTAGCTCTCCCAGTCGGGGCCGACCTCGAAAGCGGGCTGGGAGTCCTGGCCGCGGACCAGGAAGACACCCTGGATGACACAGTCGTAGTTGGCACCGTAGACGGCCTGGGCACCGAAGAGGTACTTGCGGGAAGCCTCAAGACGGGCGTGGAAACCACCGATCAGGTTGTTGGCCATGAAGGTAAGCTTCAGCTCGTTGTTGTACTTGTAGTTAACAGACCAGAGGGAGTACTCCTCGGGCTTGTAGTTCTGCCAGAACCAGGGCAGAGCAACGGGGCGGGTGTCCTCGTTGGAGTACTGGCGCTTCCACTCGTCAAGGACGAACTCGGAGCGGCCAAGAGCCTCAA